CGCAAGTATCAGGGAAGGAGCGCCACGTCGAAGAGCGGGGATTTCGCCGTCGTTCAAGACGAGGGTGGTACACTTGTCGAGGTTAAGTGCAGCTCCAGAGACAGAGCAAAATTTGCCCACAATTTGGTCCACCTGGAATTCAGCCGATTCCAGCGAATTGGACAGGAGGGTGGTGTCGTCGGCAAAGAACACACTGGTGAGGGCCGACCCATCGGGTAGAGGTATACCAAGGTGGGGGGCGGCACGAAGCATATCACCGAGGGGCTCGATGTAGAGGTCGAAGAGGAGACAGGAGAGTGGGCACCCTTGTTTGGTACCCCGGTTGGGATGAATGGCTGGACCGAGGGCGTTGGACAGCAGGAGGTGCACCGACGGATCTGTGTACAGTACTTTGACCCAAGTCAGGAAACTTGGGCCAACGTTCATTTTGCGAAGGACATCGAACAGGAAGCTGTGGTCAACACGGTCGTAAGCCTTGGCGAAATCGAGGAACGTCGCATAATGTTCCTCGCTTTCACGAGTGGCACGGAGCTGCAGGGCCTGGATGAGGTGGATGTGGTCACTCATACGTCGGCTTTGGACAAAGCCCGCTTGAGTTGGATGAATCAGCGTTTGGGCAACCGTGGACAGTCGATATGCGAGAGTGCGCGACAAGATCTTCACCTCGACAGGCATGAGCGTGATTGGACGGTAGTTACCGGGCATAGCACGATCACCTTTCTTGTACAAAAGAGTCACAGCGCTACGACGTTGGTGCGGGAGAAGGGATCGGTGATACTCCAGTTGGTAGTTGAATACTCGAACGAGGATTTCGGCAAAGATGTCCGGTGCCAAGAGGAAGAACTCCACGGGGAATCCGTCGGAGCCAGGCGAGCGATTGCATTGCATGGACTGGAGTGCAGCACGAAGCTCTGACGCTTCAAGGGGCCGGTCCAGATCGTCCCGTTGGCCAACTGAGAGCGTTTTGGTGATGTGACCGAGAACCTCCTGGTATACTTGGGGATCAGGGGGTAGCTGGCCCTGGGGTTGCACCATAATTTCAGACCAGTACTCAGTAAAGATACGTGCCACATCGGCAGGGTCGTCGTACACTATACCGTGTTGCGAAGCTGATGCAATTGGGACCTTGAGCACAGGGGACTTACGGAGGAAGTGGGATGTTGGTCTTTCATTCAACACAGAGTGTCGATCAAAACCTTTATCAAGGCAATCCTGTCGATGTTGGGCAATAGCCGATGAGTAGGTGGAGTCGGCAGCGCGGGCAACCGCGTCGGGGATGAGGCCAGCCTGATGGTCGTTACGGGCTCGAGTCCGTCGGGCTTGCAACACGCGAAGTGACTCCAGATGGAGCCGCTGGGAGTTGTATTGGGCTCGTCGCAGCTGCTTTTTCATGCGGCGGAGCCACCCAGTCCACTTGGCACCAATGTTGCACTCTGGAGAGGTAACAATCTCATCGAGCAGACGACCTGCTTCGACTTGGATTGCTCTGGCAATACTAGCATCACGTAGCAGTTCACGTGGGAGGCGCCAAAGGCGGCGAGAGGTAGTGGGGGGTCCATTCGTCCTCGCAGCAGCAAACGTTGTGGTATGGGTCATGTGGTCACCGTTATACTGGCTCCGATCGAATGTGCCGTTAGTCTAATGGTTAGGATTTCTCCCTTCCAAGGAGAAGGTCGGGGTTCAATTCCCCGACGGCGCAATTCTTTTTAT